CTAACCCTGTGATGGTACTTTATTATAGGTGACGCTCACTGTCCAGGGGCAGCCTGATAGATTGTCATGACTGACACACGACGTTCGGGTAAACCAAGCTACCAGAGGACACTAGTATTGCCCGAAGCGACTTATAAGCCCTCTGTGATGACTAATAATTATACACACATTGGAAAGGTGGATGTCAAGAACTACCAATGTTTATATGAATCACATGATCACAGAAAGGAAAATACATACCCCTCATTATGTTGTTCATTTCTGGGGTTTCTTAAGTGTTTTCTTTTCTTTGTCATTATTTTTTAAACTGAGCTGATCTTGTCCTGTTTTCTATATTCTATGAGTCAGATACAGGAGTTCCTGTATAACACATGTAACTAATGCAGGCAGACAGAGTACCCTAACATACTTAGAACAGATTACTCATTAATAAGAATCATTAAAATAATCTATATCAATGGAACGATAGATTAGTAAACTTTTATATAGCCCCAAGGTCATCAGGCCATATCAACCGCTTTAGAGGTATGCTTTTTTTCTATAGATTGGAAAATAAGAACCAGGAGATAAATTAAGAAGAATTCAAAATACATTAGCATAAATGGTCATTTATTGAAGCTGAGATAAATCGCATTGAGTATGGTGGCTGATACTTCATAGAAAGTCAGACATTTTTGTCATGTTTATCAGCATAGTCTAACTTAAATTGCTGTTATTGTATGTTTGTTTTAGAATTTCAACTAAAAACTAAAAAGCATAAGGGATGTACAGTTCATCTTTATTTCAAAAGAATTAGGAATGATCCACTTTATATCTTTTCTTTTTGCAGTTTTTGTCCGGGGCTGGGTTTGAACCTGCCACCTCTGGCATATGGGGCTGGCGCCCTACTCCTTTGAGCCACAGGTGCTGCCCCCCACTTTATATCTTAAAGATCCATGGAAGCTACTTGAATTCTTCAAGGAGAATTAAGAACAAATTCTTCTCTTACTCTTGCCTGCAGCAGAGTTTCTCTGATGCTTGTTATGTGATGAAGCGATCACTTTCTTAGCTATAATCAGACTTATCAAAACATTAAAGACGAAAGCAAGATGACTCTGGGCTTACACTTGTAGCTTGGAAAATGTATCAGGGTTATAGTATAGGCAAACTACCATTTGTTAGGATGACTAAAAAATAATTTGGCTAAGAGTTTGGAAAAACATGAGTCATATTCTGTCCCAGTTTTTCCCCTTTGACTGTTATCAAATGATAGTAACATATACGCACATTACAACCTGATGCAAATACATAATAAACAGTGAAGGAAGGTGGGGTAGGGCGGGGAGACAAAGAATAGACTGTTTGAAGGCCAAAACATTAGGTTACTTACTTACCTTGTAGAAGGAAGACGGGGACATCATCATGGTAGGCGTAACTACAGCAACTGTCCTTTGAAGATTGGGAAACTTGTCAGGTCAAAACCAAAGAATTCCAAATGGTAGTACATGGCTCAGTCCTAAGGGCAAACAATATGAGAGAGGAACTTCAGGTAAATATGTCACTCACTTGAAAATGAATAGCTGGGATTGATGTTTTATGTGATAGAATTAACAGCAAAGAGATAAACTAGTAGATAGGCTTTAGCACCTAAGAAGAACAAGCACAGTGTCCAGGCTGCTCACTGAAATTGAAAGGTAAATGACAACTGAAAACACCAGGGTCTCATTGCCAGAGCTTCCAGTACTGATAAATCCATGTATTTATCATGAGTTGGCTCAAGGATTTTAAATGGAGAGGATCCAGAAAACAAATTACAAATACTGGAAATTACATTCTGCAATGAAAGTAAAAAATATGGGGATTTAGACTGATTTAGAAAAAGGCAAAGAATTCCATCGTCTGTGAATAAAATTCAGTAATCAATAAAAACTCTACACTTATGTATAAAAGGGGTCTTTAGAAGACCATGTTAGGATAATTTGTCCATTTTTAAAATTTCTTCAGCAAAATTTTAATTTCGTGTTAATTTGGCCCTGCTACTTAAAACTGCATTTCTCAGCCCTCCTGACTGTTCCTTTTGGGATAACTCTGTTTAAAAATTAGAAAAAGCAAAGCGTTTCTTTTAAAGTATGTCTGTTTTTATTTCTCTTGCCCTGTATTAATGATGTTTATTGATCAAATGCTGAATAGGTGGGTGGAGAAATAAAAACCCGAGCTAAGTATATATGGAACTGGAGTTCAGTTTTAGCTTTTTCACTGATTTGGGGTGTTTACAAACAAAATCATAACCAATCTGAACCTGTTTCCTTGCCCATAAAGTGAAGATAAAATATCAGATACCCTATACTCTCTGGGAGCAAGGTGAGAGTGAATTAGATGGAGCCAAGAACAATTGTGTTCATTTGTAAAGGACTTGTTAAAAAGGACATGGTATATATTACAATTTTGTTAAATTGCTCATGAAAGAGATTGTATATTTTAGAGTATCAGAGCTGTGACAGGGTCAAGGATGATAAAATGGATGGAAAATGGTTAAAACATTATGTAGAGAAGAGATGGGGGGAAAAGTTGATGTAGAGAAAGGTGAGAAGGAAGGAGAGAAAGGAGACAGAAAGAAATGTAAATAAATAATATGAGAAAAACACAGGAAGAAGGAAAAAGAAAAAAAATGAAGAAGATGGCACTGGACTGGGTTATTCTTCTTTCAATGTCTAACATCCATTTTTATTACTCTAATAGCCAAATGCTCTGGGTAACCTCAACTCTGCTGTTGAATAAGGAGTATTTGAGTTGGAGATTACATTATGTAATGTTTTCTCAACATTTGGTGGTGGCCGGTCTTTTAAGCTTTTATGTGCACCAAACCAGAACAAACACGTGGGTCCTGTTTGGGCTTAGGGCACTGATAGAATAACATGGACTCTGTTGCTGCTCCTCTTAGTTCAATTCTCAATGAACGGGTTTCACTCAGCACTCCTAATGAAGACAGTTGATTCTGAGCCCAACTCCCCTCTGTTGAGGTGAAGTGACAACAGGGTGACACCTGTTTCTTTAGTCAGAGGCTCACCTAAGGCCCACTGAAGCCCAACACAAACCTTACCTCCTTTTTTACCTTTTGCTCTGTTTGGAGCACTTAAAAATCTTGCTTCTTCACAGATGATCCAATTGGTTTGATGATCGGGTTCATACAGCTCTTCTAGGGGTTTCTAGAACAAACAACTCAACACCAGTATTGGCAGTATCTATTTTTCACTGTTTTGAGGGATTTGTTCTTTGCCTGACAAATTTCAGGTTAGAAACAGTCTGATCCAGACATAGTCTAGATCGTACAGGAGCAGTCGGGACAAGAAAAAAGCTAACACTTTATCCTGTCAATCTTTCCCCCGTGCTTTATAGAGACATTTTCCTTGAGTATTGTGCCAAACAAGAGAAATGCACCAAAATTCAACTTTACCACTTGTAATCCTTGTCGCAACCACTAGTGAGACGTCAAAAAAATCACACTAGAAACTTTCCATAGGGCTTATTGACAAAAAATGGGGTTTTCTCAGAAGTTTAATGGCTCCATCTTCTAACCCTCTAACAGCAGGGGGTGAAATTTCTAAAATGTTAAATGAATTCCTTTCACTATGTGGCTGACACCCCAAGAATAGTACTTTGGTTTCAACGTATTGAAAGTTTTACAATTGTATGAAGATTTCAATTATTCATCATTTCTCTGAGGTACTACAATGGAAAAGTCAAGAGCATATGCCATATTTTTAAAAAAATGTTTTTTCACTTGGGTCTTGTTGATACCATAAACAAGAAAAGATACCATAAAAAGGAAAATTTGATATTCCTCCTGATCCTGACAGAACCTTCATAAACAAGACTAGATGGGAATTTGGTAAATTCATCCCTTTTGCTTCGCTATTTCCCTTTTTTGCATTGCCCCTTATGCAAAATTGGGTTAGTAGAGTTATGATACAGGTGAGGAAGGAAAACTTAATATTTGAATTTGTAGTATTCTTCATTCTGTGATATTTGGAAGTGAAATTATTGTGGAATGTGATAAATATCCACGAAATTCTATAAATACGTAGCAATGAAGGAAAGCTAATAGCTATCTCAAATATGATGATGGCCTTTAAACTGGCATGAGGGTTAAGTGAACAGCGAAAGCCGAGTAAAATGCGCCCTTTTACAGCTGTGGTTCTGAAGACGTTTATAACAAAACACACTTCTCATCCACTTTTAGTACTCTAGTAGACCAATGCCCTGGGTCACCTCAATCATAACTTCTGACTAGGGAATATTAGAGTTAGAGACTCCTATGTTTCACATAAGTGGTGTTAGCTGAAGTCTTTTAAGCTTTCATGTCCACCAAACCAGAAACCATACTCAGGTCTGTTTGGGAAAATGGGCTCTGTTGCAAAAGATGGACATTCATGAAATCTGAGAGATGAGAAGTTGGTGGCTCGTGTAGTGATAATAAAACATGAAGCAGGAACAGCAGCTAACTGTTGCCAATGTGATCAAACAGTCTCTATGACTTAATCCTTAATTTTATGCTTGTCTGACTTTCAGGAAATGCTGGTTCACTTGGGCCACCGTGCACTTCACTGAGCACTTCGACAAGTCACAATTTTCTTTCCTCGGGTCTTACCTTTTTCTTCTATGAAAAGGGGATAGGCTCTGACATATATTCCTTATATTTGTTTCAAAGGGAAAAACAGGTACATATGAAAACTGTCTGAAGGGCAGAGTTCTCATCTTTAACGAATCATGGAGTATTTTATTCTCTGATCCGGCAGGGTACACAGTAATGATGGCGACGGGCTACGGACTGAGATGGAGATGGCTGAGGTCACGTGTACTGAGATGGAGATGGCTGAGGTCACGTGTACTATCCAGGCTCTAGGACAGGAATCATGACCCACACACAATGGCAACGACAGCTTAACTAAGCCCAGCACTCTTCAACGTTTAGTTTTCTGTATTTGGAAGATGTGTTTGCGTACAGAATTTTCACCAGAAAGTTTTTATAGCAAACTTTTTATGTCAGAAGTTTATTTTATTGGTAAAATATTAAATAATATACAGAATTAAAAACTGCACTTACACTTCTGAGAAGAAATAAATCTTGGACAAATTATATGCTTGTTCCTGAGATTCCCTAAATCTTTTCCAGTAGCTGTGCACTCAGACAGTACAAACCTTTATAATATAATCCTTTTCACAAAGTATTACAAAGTTTTTGCAGCTTCTTCAGTTGAACACACATACACACACTCACACATGCATATACGACACTCATACACATATACACAGTACCCACATACATGCCCAGAAACATGTATGCGTGCGCAGTAAAAACAAAATACAAGTCCCACAGTTTAGTCTGCAGTGATGGAACTGTTTAGCGGAGGTCTCCAAATCAGTATGTAGTAGAGTGACTTGTCACACAGCTGCAAAGACTGTTTCAGTATTTCTGTAGTAAACCTCATTTGCTGAGGTGTGGTATTTGAGCCTTAAAAAAACTACATTACACTGAGCAAACCTGACATACAAGGTCTGGAATTTTAGCTTTACATATATATTTATATTTATATATATATATATATTTCTTTTTTAAACAATAGTTTTTATTTCCCCAAATTAGTTTGAAAAAAAATGAGGTTTACTGGTTTGACCTTTTTTTTCTTTCTTTTTTTTTTTTTTGCTTCTAAAACTCAAAATATCCTAGAAACTGTCAAGCAATTAGTCTTTAAAATAGTCTAATTACCTTTGGTATTGTTAAAGAAAAAATATCTAAAATGGCCAAAACACATACTGTACAAACGCAGTAACTGCCTTTAAAGGAAATGCCAAAGAAATGTTATCTTTTAACAAAACATGTATTTACATTACAGCAGTTTTACTACAGGGGCACAAGTATAAAAAAAAGAGTATCAGCACACTACATATAAATATGTATGACACAAAAAATACTTCTTACTTAAATTTGTCTGAAAACAGAACTGCTCCAATTATTTCTAAAATATTTTCTCCAATAGGTGATATGTAAGTGTTTAAAATTAAGCTAAGTGCTTTGCTTTTATTTTAAAGTTCATTTCTAAAAGGAGAGAAATGAAATACAAATATTAAAAATTAGGTTCTTAATTTAGCGCATTGGGCAAGGATTTGAGAAGAAAATTCAATCTGTAAAAATTTCAACTTTTGGACACATTTCCCAGGCAACAGAATACTAAATTCAATGGAAATTGAGCCTAAATAAAGATACCGTGAGATTTCCACCTGTGTTCCACATTCTCTATCTTTTTGATGGGGGAGTGTGTTTGCTTATTGTGCCCTTTAACACAATTATGATTTTCAAAGGTTTCTTTTCATTGTTAGCTAGAGAAAGAATGGGTCAGAAAAAACAAAACAAAACAAAACAAAAACTCACCATAGTTTTTAAGACTTCAAGGGGATTATTGCACTTGTACAGACAGAAATAGTTATCTTTTTAACTAATAGCAGAAGCAATCATTCTGGGATTGCAAATAACACATGGTCTAAAAGGTCCAGGTACTAAGAACAAATATGGAGCCTGAAGACCCCTCCAAACCTGGAATATTATTATAGTAATGTTAAAGCATTTTCCTCCCAATTGGGAGAAAGTTAAGACTCTCTGCTTTACATTTTTAAAATCTTTCTAAATATTTGCAAAAAAATTGTCTAGTCTTTCATGATACACATTTTCAGAGGAAAGCCAAATCAGAATGTAAAATACAACCAAAGAGAAAGGCAAACACGCTATGATACAATTACATAATTTCTGGAGTGATGTTTTAGGTACCCAAAGTTTGAAAGTGAAAGTAACACGGAAATTATACAGCTTACTACTTTTAATCCAACCGCTTCTCTTTTTAATATAAAACTACACTTGAGTATAAAAATATGTCAGCAGATTACACAGCCAACAAAAATCACAAACAAAACAATTAAGGACCAATGAATTGAAAATAAGAGTTGACCTAATCTTCAAACTAGTACGAAAAGAGAGGCAAAGACATTCAGAGACAATGATGGAAGGGAGATAGACAGAGAAGAAAGGTTTGGGGGATACTACAAAACTTAAGTAGAAATAACAAAGAACTTTGTTACAAAGAAGGGCAAGTGATTTATGTTCAAAACCTGGCAGTCCTGGACTGTCAAATTTTGTCACAGTTTCAGAATTTGAACTACTAAAAAAAAAAAAAAAAAAAACAGAACCCAGATTCTGTCCCTTGTTACAGTGTATTCATTAAAAAAAAAAAAAAAAAAAATCCATTTCCAGTAAATTAAATTAAGTAAAATCCTGATAAGTGCATAGTAGGGAATTCAGTGACCTCCACTCATTCAAGAAGCTTTTCTCACTGTGTGTCACTTGAGGTAATTTGAAAGGCCCAATTCACTGCAAACTGGCTTATTTGTACCTATGTCAAGTTATATGCTGTACTTTGTGTGGCTTAATAGAGGGCCTCTAAATTTTATATTTTATTCACAATAAAAAGGACATCTTAGAAAACTAGTCATTCATGTACCACTGTCTGTATGGGATAAAAGTTAACTGACAACAAATTTATACAGAAAATATACAAATGCAATGTTATAGGAGAAAAACCCCATATACAGAATTAAGAACTTATTCCTAAGAGTGCATGTGAAAAATATCCACAAACTTACAGTACAGCAAGATAAAACTAAAAAGCTAGAAATAGAATATTACATAAAAATCTTATGGAAATTCCAAAATTTTAGGTTTTTGCAATAAATGTAAAAATATTCAAGGTGTCATTATTTGGCCTAGCAATACACTATGATAAAAAGAAACACTAGCATATCACAGCTTCTTGGTCATATGACATTTGCTTTGTATAACCAGCAGCTTTTTTTTTTAAACTGTAATATCCCAACATGTCCATGGCAAATAATACACAACCATGGTATGAAACCATTTGAGATTAAGCTTTGGAGAACAGCAATGTGATATGACTATTCAGTTTTGTTTTGTTCAAGAAGAATTAATTACCTGCTTTTTTATGTTATTCCATCAAATATTCAGAGATTAGAAAATAGAGGTCCCACGACTAGAACAATACTAGTCTGGAAATGAAAATCCCAACCAATACTGTATCTTACTGACTAAAAATTTCCCTAATAAATCTTTATGAAATGCAGAAATAATTCTTCCTTAAAAACAAAACAAAAACCCATTACCATAATTCAATTCGCAGGTAAAATTTCATTCTACCGTACATTTTACTTGTATGATCTTGTAATGATATTTATAAATACTATGAAACTAAGAAGATATTAAAATCGGGTTCCAAAGTTTTCTTTTACTTTTAACAGCTGAGCTGAAGTTTCTATATTGGAAATTGCTCTAAAGATTTGCCCTAAGAACACAAATATGAATTACATAGTACTCATTTTTAAGTGATTTTTAAAAATGCACATTTTAAAGTATTGCAGGGCTATAATAGCTCACCAATACTCTCAATGCATTTTAAAAAGGCACCAATATAACATTTTTTATTAGTATTTAATACATCAAATTCTGGATTTTAAGAGACCAGTTACTGTATATTTTAATTATTTTGCAGAAACTGGAGGATTAAAAATATTTCTGAGATAACTTTTATATTTACAAATTTCAATTTCATCCCCTCCTGTACACATATGCTCTCTTTTTGGGTTTAGAATAATCTTCATACAGATAGTACTTGTTAAAATAACATATAAATATAAATGAAGATAACAAATGTAACATCCCTTTTTATAGAAAATGAACAAACCAAAGTTTAAAAAAAATGTAGCTAGTACCTATTAATTCTGTCTTGAGAGCAGGGGCAGACAGTTATTTTGTTTATATTTTTCAGTCACTTCTGGTTTTCTCTGCCCTAAGAGACAGTATAGAATAAGACTTGGAAAGTAATAACAACATCATTTTCATGTGAATGCCCTAATCTGATGTAAATTTTGTTAAGCAATGAAAAATAGCATAAAGACTTGAGGGTTTTGTGAAGTGTGTAACTGAGAAAGCTATTCAAAAAATCTACTGAGCTCACTAAAATATTTTCTTTGTCTATTTGCCAACAAGTAAAAGTTGGTAATATTTATTTTCTGTATTTTCTTCTTATTCAAAAATGAATTTGTCATTTCTTTAAATTGATTTCAAGTCAGCCTGAATTTCTTTTTTCATGGTTGGTTTCACCTTGTTCTGGAAGTAGATAATCAAGTTTCAAGGGGTTTAATAGTTGCCACTAGTCCTAAAAACACACCAGTAACTTCTTTAGTATTTCTTAATACAATCTGGTAAAGAAAACCCACCTAATTGCTCACGTATTAACTATAATTTTAACTCTCCCTACATTTTTACAATACATCTGATCAGTCTAATTGCTCCTTTGCATGACTTGTGACACACACACGAGTACACGCTGTGACTTACGTATGTAACTGCCTGTATGTATGTGGGAGAGTTCCTACCTTGTGACCAAATCTAAATTCTAGTTTTTTATTCTCCCATTTTGCCCCTTCAGAAAATTCTCAACAGCAAGTTTCGGTAACTTAAAATCTCTTCCAGTCTGCCTACTGATAACTTTTACTGTTTTAAAAACCCAGTTTGAATGGCTCTTAAAACATGATTCATCACTTGTAGAGAGTGATTGGAGATAAAATTCTGGGCAAAATTAGGGCAAAGCAATGTGATGAATTTCTGAATTTTTGCCAAACTGGAAATTACAGAGAATAACCCACTTTCACGTCCCTCAAATACTGTCTGTAATGTGAAATCTCACCTAAATAAACTGTGGGCATACAACTGTTCTGTAAAACCTGATGTATTTGGTTGGTGACCCTTGTATTTATTTTTAGGTGCTACCACCTTGCATGTTTCCTTTTGTGAAGAAAAGGCCTGCAAATATAGCCATCTAGAGTTCCTCAGAAGGCACCAGGTCCACAAAAGTCCTTTCTAACAGGCAAGTTTGAATTGACCTTGCTTGTCCTATTTGTCTCTGCCACACCCTGAGCCATCCCCACCCCTTTCTGTTCCTTATATCATGAAGCTAAGAAAATACAAGTACACACTTGCAGCAAATGCACTCTCACAACCATTAACTACCTTCAATAAAATAAATTCCCAAAAAGATGAAATCAGGAAAACAAAGTGCAGTATTAGGACTGTCTTCATAAGGGAACTGCGCAACTCCTTAGGTCCATCTAAACTTAGTCTCATCCCAGGGCAGGTAGGTACAGGGTTGTTCATACACTCGGAGGAAAAAAGTAAGCAGGAGGAAAATTCATAGATAATGCCAGCAGAATTTAACACGTAGCTAAAACAGCCTAAATTATGAACATATTGACTGGCATCCAAATGTTTCATTAAATTATACCAAAACTCAAAATCATGAACCTTAAAATCATCTACCTCGCCTAAAAGAATATGGCATTCCAATTATTATTTGGGGTAGATGAGGAGAAAGGGAGTCTGAAGGACATGTTTTGCCTTGGGATAAACTGTATGACCACAAGGTACAAGGCAGGCAGCAGAACGGGTAATAACGGACATTCTAACGCTGTCTGATATATTCTCTTAGATTTAAAGGAGCAGTTTGGCAATTTTTCCAAAAATAATTACAATAGGGACTAGTAAAAAAGACAGCTCGGTTCTAAGCATTTTTGTCTAATTCTAGCAGTGTTAGTGCTCAGAAGTTGCTTTAAGTAAATAGATGGTAAACAAGAAAATGAGCTGAGAGCAATAGTGGAGCCAGACTCGCTCTCTGTCCACAGTTCTGTAGTTTTGGTAATTCTCATACCACACTGTATTAAGAAACATAGTTTCAGCATCCTATTTAATAACCCTTTAGAGCAGTTATCAGTTACTGCTTAACAGAACGTCAGTATTCACAAATGGTTATCAGATAATCCAGTCGCAGACAAGCCTGTCTTCCTGAAACACTGGCAGTAAGTTCTGCCTTCCAAGTGTGTTCCCCCAAAGACCTGAATCAGTCTCACCGAGTTCCTCCTCTCTAGTTCTTTTGGACTGCAAAGAAAAATCTGAGCACCCATGTAAGTGAAATTAAAACATACACATGAGATATGGTAACTAATGACATATACGTATTAAAGAAGGGAAATTCTGTACTAAGGAACTGATTTATTTCTGACAAGGATTTATAGAGCTGAATATTTTTGAAACAGAAAGGTGTGCAGGACCTATGGAGGTTCTGTTGGACTCCCGGAAGGGTAAAAAGTAAACTTGGTTGGTTGTTTTATCTATAGTCCAATGTACAGGTTACATAGAAGTTCCCTTTTCTTTGCAGCAAAAGTAGTAAATATTATTACTGAAGAAATACTATAATATAAATAGCCCTAGTTCAATAACCTTACTGGGTTCAAGTTACCACATTCAGGTCAAATTAGCAATTGCCCCGAGGAGATTTTGAAAGAAATAGCCTGCAGCAAGGCTTTTAAGACCTTCTACTTGAAGAGTAAAAGATGAATGAACTATGGACAGAACACTGGGTGGTCACAGCTTGAAAAAAACAAGTGAAAAGAGAAATACCAGAGAAGAGATCTATAAGTGGGTTTTCCCCCACTGTTAGCCTAATTATATTTTTCTGCTGACTGGTTAACACTGATTAAATGCTGATTAAAATGACAATTGTAAGCATACTTTTAGAGACAAATATGTATACCATGCTGCCATGACATTAAAACTTTAAAAGAAAACCTCTCCAATTTATGAAAAATAGAAGTCCCTTACAGAAATTGACTGCCTGTTATCCACTCTTAGACCATATGTTATTCTGAAAACCACATAAAAATACTATTCGTTAAAGGTGTTAAAAGTAAGGCTGCCAGGGTGTCTATAAAATGCCAGTCATCAAAACTATGGAAAAACAGTGCTTAAGTTTAGAAAAATAGGATCACAGGACCTCAGATGTATTGTAGGTGGTCCTTAACTACCTGTAGTTTAAAAGTGTTGCTATATGGTACAGTGTAAAACGTACTGAATTAGAAATTCCATAGGGGAAGTAAACATAGAACCCACAACAACTCAACTCATCCTAGGAGTTATCACCAAAAATAACAGTGTGTTTGTGTTCCGTGATCTCCAGAGAACAACAATAACAAAAAATCAGCTTACATTTTGAAACAAATGCTTTTTTTTTTTAAAAGTACTTATACCATTTTAAACTGCCAAATTCCTAACCAGAAAACTCTAAACTTTCCTGTCTTCAATCATTATCCTGAATATCCGTGACAAAATAGAATAGCATTTCTAGGTGAATCTATACGAATCGGGTGATTTTTTTCAAAGAATGATATGCCTTATACCTATGAGTGGCAGAAACGAACTGCTCCGAAAATTCCCACAGAACCATCAAGCCAAGTGATCAAGAAACAACATCCCCATCTCTTCTCTCTTCTGTTTCTTCCCTATTGTAATTAGGCAGAGCAAATGACACTGTGTCCACAAAATAAGAATTATCAACAGTAATAATATTAAAAAAAATAAAAGGTACGCCGACTTCTGAAGGAAGGTGGGATTGTAAGTGCAGTGTTTCTTCATGTGCAGTTCTGTACTTCATAGGGGTCCCCTTTGGAATGAAAAGGCCTAGTGGAATGTGTGCTCCCCTCGGACAATGTGTGATGAAAACTCGTAACGGTCCTGGCTTCTGTAGCCACAGATGTTGCATTCCAGTGGGTCCCGGTAGCCATGGCAACCCATGTGAATGGTGTACATGACGTGGTCTAGGAAAAGGACTCGGCAGTGCTCACACTTGAAGGCCCGAATCTGTTCTCCTTCTCCATTGAAGACCTTGTAGATGTCCTTCAGAGAGCCCTTAGGAGCCTTGGTAGGATCCAAAGCCTTGACATCCTCCTTTATGTAAGCTGGGCTTTGTTTCCTCTTGGGATTTAAGGCAGGGTTTCCTTGGTAGGACTGGTGGTCATCATGGCTGCTTTCTGAGTCAGTAGAATCCAGGCAGCTATTGCTGGGAGAGGCCTCTCTTTCCTGGGGTCGACTCTTTGGTCTAATAAGAGAGATAGGGCCATCCATGTTGTTATCATGACTATCAGAGGTTTCCCTGCTAATGGGTCTTTCTATCCTATTTGGATGATAGACCTGAGAATAAGCTGAGCTTATAACTGGGGCCACTTCAGCGATTGTGCTTGGCGGGTGTTGCATCAGAGGGTGAAGGGCCTCAGCTCCAAGGTAGGTGATTGCATTGTTGATGGCTTGGTCCATCATGTGAGACTGCATCAGCTCAGCCTCCTTCTCATATGTCAAGTTCATATCAAAGTGAATATCTGGGTAGCTGAATCGCATGATCTTTTCCCCTGAAAGGGAGAGCAAGAGGAAAGAAGAATAAAAAGAATATATTAAAATTAGTGATTGGGATAAAAAATTTAAAAGGATACAGAGTTAAGTAATCACCTCCGTTTTACACAGTTAGGTATATCTTATTCTTTAATATCAAGAATTTGGGCTCTTTTAATTCCGCTGAGACTCACTGACACTTTTAACATGAAAAGAACACAAGCAATAAAAACTTCACAAGCCAGTTGCATTTATTCTGCTGCCATCACTGGAAGGTACCTAGCTTGGAACGTATCATTAAGTTTATCTCATTTTCACTTTCTATTAAAATTCTTACTTGAATAGAGCTCAGGAGCTATAGGAGGGAAGAATAAATACCAGGTAAAAATAAGCCAGAGACTATGCTTGTATTTGCA